GGTTGGGCTGGTCTGGTCTGGAAAATGAAGTGGTGGGCTGGGCTGCGGTTAGGTGCATCTGCGGTTTAGGTTGCGGTTAAATCGCAAAGACTCATTATCCCCAACCGCGACCGAAAAAGAAGCTATTTTTGCGGTTTGCAGTTAACCATTAAGCACACGGTTTTGGTGTGGTTAGCGGTTTAACCGCACAACCGTGACCAAATTCCCAGTCCTACATATGATCAACAGAGTATCTGTCAAGATCACACCCAATCTCAGTAAGGATTTGGGTGATGAGGGTAACATAAGGAAGAGCAGTGTCTCATAAGCCTTCACAGGGAGGGCCTTGAATGCTTTAATTGACCCATTCAAGAGGGTCTTGAATGATTTTATCGATATTCATGACTTGTTAAAGACTCTGCACATTATGAACAAAGTATGAAAGTCGTTAAGAACCATTAATCATCAAATCGACTAGTGGCTAGTTAGAATAATTACCTTAGTGAACCTTCTCATTCTTAATCACATTTAATCTAATCATTTTTTTGTTAGATTTAGTTGTTTAAAGTAATCAAACTTGAACTTGAATTTGTTAGATAATAAATTGAAGTTGAGTACTAATACGGGTAGAGACGATTGGAAGATTGGCAGCAACGGATGAGTCTTCCTATGTTTTTTGTAAATTCTCTATCTTTTTTACTTTCGCTCCCGAAAACAGTGCTTGCTATGACAATAAGGTCAATGGCTCTACAGGCCCGAGGATATGATATTTATAATTTTTTGACACTATATTCCATCTATTTTATTGATTCACTTGCATGTGTTAAGAGTGTTAGTTTGTAGCGATTATGATTTCAAGTGAATTTAAGGATATGCGATTTAGTTACTAAGATAACACTAAGTGAATTAAATTAAATTTGAGGTATGAAACTATAACGTAAACTTGAATGAAAAAAGTAGACCCTGATTCTCTAATCCCTAAACCCTAAGTCCAACTCCAATAGAGAGCGGAAAAGGGAGGAAAAATGAGTTTTTGGTTTTGGTATCTGCAATACGGAGCAAGGGGGAATATGAGTAGAATGGAAAATATGTATTGGAAGCTCACTCACAAAAGAAAAAAATTGAGGGGGTTGCATCGCACTCGTATTTTTTCATTTTTTAAATTTAATTGAAAGGTGGGAGTCAATTTTTGGGCTCCAACGATCAAATTTCGTCAACTACCATTTAAACCAAGAATCATTTTTTCAACAACTAATTTTTCTAGCTCTATAAATAAAACATCTCATTCTTCCACACTTGTCAATTCTTCACTTCTTTGCTTAAAAGTATGATTCACTTATTCTCAAACACCCTGCAATTGTCATCATATCTTATGCATTCGCTCGCATGTCAAACTGGAAAAAGCCTGAGGATATAGTTTGGTGCGAGATTTGGATGAAATTTTTTGAGGGTGCTCCATTCGATAATTATCAATCATCCTCAACGTTTTGGGCTCAAATTGAAGCTCAATATCACAACAAGGGATTCATGGTTGTTCGTACTGAGGATGCATTGAAAGCTAGATGGAAGAACATAAATTATCTATGTAGATTGTAGAAAATGGAATGCGGTTTGGATGAGGGTTGTACCAGCAAGCGATTCTAACATACTTAACGTGGTTATTAAACTTCTTATATGTTTAATTAAAATATATGTAGTTGTCATATTTATAAATTTTTACCATGCATATGAAATAATTGTTTAGGTTGAACAAAGTAGTGCAATTTTTACGGAGGACACCAAAAGAAGGGGAAGATGGATTGTTGTTGGAATGTCCTCCAACATTGTCCAAATTTTATGCAAGAATGGCCTGCCCTCGTAGCACCCATTCCACCATCGGAAGGATCTTCATCAGATTTGCCTTCTTATGAAAATGAGAGCTCCGATCTTCATGCAAGAGCGGGTCCCTATGTCATCAACCATCTAAAGGTCGGGATAAGCAAAAGAAGAAGAATGGAGGATAAATGGATTCTGCAATGGCGAAATGGTGGCATCTTCAGCAACACATGCCAGGTTGGCAATCGTTAGGGAAGAACATGAGAGGGCTAGGGAAACAAGGGAAAAGAATAAATGCGACCAAGAGCTAATGAGTAAGGATCTTTCTCAATTCAAGCCTCATATAAAAGCGTGATACCAAATGCAAAAAAAAAAAAAAATCAACTCATAGTTGTGTACCAAGTTGATTCAAGTCCAACTCCAAAATTATCCAACTATAACCCATACGATGACGTCTATATACCCGACCTATAATTTTTTTTTATATTTAATGCATTATTTAGTGTGCTACTTTTAATTATGTGTTTTAGTATGTTGCTTAGAGTACCTTGATTTTACCTTTGATTAATAATAATAGATTATATATAAATTTTAAAAATTATATTAAAATGTTCTTCTTAACTAATTAGGTTTTATGTAAGATAGTGATAGAATTATCAAGTAAAATGACGAGATTAGTACCCAATTGATTTCTATCAAAGCTGATTTGGTCCTTTAATTTTTTCTTCATTCCCTTACTAGTTTGGTGTCCGACCCGTTGGTCGGAATTTCATTTGCATATGATATATTTACGAAGTACATATGTATTTACGTGTACATCCTAAAGTTTCAAATTATTTGGAATGTTAATTTCTACCCAATAGCTAAATTAATTGTTAAAATTGAATTAAATAATAAAAACATGAAAATCAATATATAAAAAACCAAATGAATTCTTATGAAAGAGTTAGTGGGCTAGTTAACGTTAGTGGAAAAGTCATATGTTTTTAAGATTTCAGATTTCTGTACGTTTTTAGTTTAAAAAAATGCATCAAGTTCATTTAGTGTAATTGATAACAATTCATGTCCTTGTTTAAAGTGACCATGATACAAATTTCAGGATCTATGTCTTTTAACATATGAAGAAGAAAAATAATTGCAAATACAAATATTTCCTTCTTACTTTTGCTGTCGTTAGAGAAAATTTGAAATACTCAAAAACTGCCACCAACTTTACTTGTAGATTGTGGATCCTGATTTTATGGCCCTACCTAGATTCTCACTTTCCCTTGGGCTTGCTCCTCTCTTATGTCTGTGTTGGTTTTTTGTTGGGGCTTGGCTCTGTGTGGGTTTCGGCTTTTGTTGTGACAGTTATGGTCTATTTTTTTTTAATTGGTCATTGGTCCCTTGCGTTATAAATTCGGGTGGTTGTGTTGATTTTTTTTGAATGGTTAAACATTGTCCTAACTTTACTTTTATCGCCCTAATTTAAAACATAATATGACTAAATTATCCTTCTTTAATTAATTCAGTTCTAATTCGATAAAGCAAGAAATCTCCTTAAATTTCTACTACTAAACATCGCTGATCTTCTCCTCAGAGTCCTCTCCAAACCCCTTTGCCGGCGTCCTTCTCCCCTGCGCTTGATCAAAGGCTGTGTGCATCTGAAAATCGAGGGAGTAACTTACATCTGATTCTCTTGGCAACCAAACGAGGAGAACTGTCGTAAGTGATAACCGTTCCGTTATGCGAAGCATGAGCACATGCATGGATCGAGAGATTCTGGGGGTAGATGATGTTGCAGAGTTCCTTCTTTTTTATATCTCAAATAGCGAGTGGTGTGCTGCAAATGGTGAAATTAATTCATTGACTTTTGGGGAAAGCTGGAAAGAAAGTTCCCTTCATTCAAATTAAATCCCAACCTTGAAATCTATGTTCTGGAAAAGCTTCAGCAAGCAAACGAAACTTCCCCAGGTTTCAGATTCACATCAAAAAGCAACTCTCTAATCTGATTGCCTATCTCTTCTCTCGCCGTTCCCCAATGTCTACCGAGTCGCTCCAAAGGACTGGACATTGCTGTATCGCCAGATCCGAGATCACTGGAATCAGAATTTTCTGTTCCAGAAACGATAAAGTGAGGCAGCCGGGAAAGAAAAGAATCAGATAGGGCGATTAGGGCCCAATTCATAATAGGGGGGTAAAGAAGTAATTTCAACGTTTAGATTAGGGCAATTAGGCGACAATTAGCAAACCCTTTTTTTTGGACTTTAATGGTGGATTTTTCTTCTGTTTGGATCGTGGGTGCCCTTTTGGGTTTTGTGGGTTGTGTTTTATTGCGTGGCTTGGGTGCTTGTTTGTCTCTGAAGTTGCTTGGTTCTTGTCTTGTGGACTTGTGGTGTTGTGTGTGGCGTTTTCATCATTACAGTGTGCTCCTGCTACCTTTGATTCTATTCTGTTTGGCTTCTGGTTTTCTCGGTTTCTCCAATCTGAGCAGTCCAGTATTTTTCATGTCCACCGTCATCTAATCTTTAAGACTCACTACGACGAGTTGCCTTTGAACAATTCTAAGAAAACGACTTATGTCGTTGTTGTGTTCAATTGTCATGGTCAAGTTTGTATTGGATGAGTTCTTGTCTGTTTTGTGCTACTCTGATTGATGCGGTTGCTTGGTCGAGTTCAGATGTGATGTGGTTGGTGCAAGATGTAGTTTCTCAGTGTTGGGGGTGGCTCCTCTGTGTGTCTGCTCCTATTGTCTCTTTCTTTCGGACTTGGTTTGATCCACGACATGTGTGGTTTTCTTGTTTTGTTTCCAATTCGTGATGTTCACGACTCTCTTGCAATCACCTTTGGAGAGTGCAATAAAATTACTTCTAGTAAAAATAACATATTGCAGATTGTCTAAGATCAAATTCATTAAGAACAATGATCAACGATTCTGATTCGTGAAAGTACATCCAGTATACCAAATGCACCATCTTAAGATTTAGAATCTCCAAAATCGAGTGTAGGATTTAGAATCTCCAAATTAGAGTGTACTTATTTACATGTCAAGTTAAAGCTGACAAAAGCCGCCTAATCCGATGTTATCTGGGGCAGTTAAGAAAGCCATCATGCACACCCTTGTAAGAATTGCAGTTGTAGAGGTACAGCTTATTCCGTAGACCAAGATTAGTAGGGAGAGTGCTCAAGAGTACAAAGGAGCAAATGCAACAAGAGTTCCAACTTCCAAGCATAAGTCAGCTTTATTCCGAAAGTTCAAACGGTTCGCTTAAGGACAGGAACATCACATACAGGCAGCACTAACCGCCCATTCCAAGCGATCCTCAAGAGAAGACAACACTAATGAGTGGAAATGGAGTTCCCCCTTCCTAAAAACCATAGGGAAACAACTCCATCCATCACTTGGCACTAAAAAAAAGTAGCCCTAGCACAGAAATTAGCCATGTAGATACACTGCAGTACTCTTTACCCTTTTACCATCATCACAGACACATTTACATCCTCACTTTGTCATTCACTGACATCATTTATTCAATTCAACACTCATTAACTTTGACAACCACAGCTGCTGACTCTAGAAGCTCGAGACAATAGAGAGACGAGAGAAGTGTTCTCATCCCGACCATCCTCTCTGAGAGCTCCCAGAAGAATGCACACTCAACCTGTCAAGCACAGCATTGAAATCAACGGGCTGCCCAGTTTCCTCCATCCTCTGAATCACGCCCATCACATGATCCCCTCTGAAACCCATGTTCACCAACTTCTCAATCAACTCGTTGTAAGGATGGTTGCGGATGAAGTGGCCCTGACCGGGATTCCTGGGCATCATGTTAGGAGCTGCTGCTGCACCACCTGGCTGCTGAGAACTCTGGAGAGGAAGGTTTGGTGGAGGGTGGTACCCACCTTGTGAGAAATGAGCCCTCCCCCCTTCGCCCTCATATACCATATATGCACTCCCAGGCGGGAGGGCACCAAGTGGTCCAGTAATCGTGAATCCATCGCCTGCTTGACCCACAAATGGGACCTTAATTTGTTGAGGTTGTTGAAGCTGCTGCTGAGGAACTGGCCTCGTGGTTCCGCCATACCCATAAGGCTGCGGAACTGTGGAGTAAGATGAAGGCATAGGCATGCTGCTCGACATTGTCTCTTGTTGTGGAGCAGCAGCAACAGCAGCAGTTGATGACTGACTATGAGGATAGGGAGGGTAAACCGCATTTGATGATAGCGGCCTCACTTGGGGGTGCTGCATGGGAGTTGCCTGCTGCGGCCACTGCTGTTGATACTGAGGATGATACTGCTGCTGGCTAGGCTGTGGTGGTCCCTGATTCACTTGCGCTGGAGCTGGTTGAGATGGCATCCCTTGCATTTGGTTTGATCGATATTGAGAATCGGGAGGCATGTATGGGCTCTGAGATGGCTGGCCAGTTGGAAGATAATAGGTCTGAGGTTGCTGTTGTGCTACAGTCAGTTGAGGGGATTGGGAGGGTGGAGGAGAAGATATCTGCTGATGCTGCTGTGGAAGAGCAAGAGCCAATTGTTGGTTATGTGATTCACAGGTGTTGTCATTCGTTTTTGGATCAGAAGCAGATGGTGATGAAGTTTTTCTCTCCTCGGGAGATTGTGAATGGGTTGATGAAGAGGATTCCTTCTGTACAAGCTGAAGTTTAGCTAGTTCTTTCTGAGTCTCGGCAAGTTCTTGCTTATCCCTTAGAATCTGGACAGATCTATGAACCTGTAGAAAGAACCAATAGAAGGAAGTTATTTCCGAGTGAATGATGGCTACAGAAGAAGCCTTGAGTGACAACGATGCTACAGGGATTGCCAAAACAGAACTGGAAATAAATACATTGCTGCCAACTAAGGTTCCACATAATAAAAAATAAGGGTGAGATGGGAAAAGGGTAATTTTGGCATTGGGTACTCTAAACTAAAAATCAAACAAACAGAATCTTAACATACACCAACTGGGGGTTGTGTTATTTGGAAAATACCAGGTTATTAACTCACATCAGGCTGTATTATTCAGGTTAAGGTACTAACACGGAAATGGTGTACATAGAGAATGATCATGGCTGACTGACCTCTTGAAGATGTTTCTCAACAGCTTTGAGCTTTGTATCTGTCTCAGAATAGTCACGAGTTAAATCAGATCGCATTTCTCCAATTGACTTATCGAGATTGTAACAATATAACTCCAACTGGGAGAGGCGGGAACTGATTCCTTCAAGAAACCGCATCTGGTTTTCAGAATGTCTTTTCATACTCTTATCGACTGCAGAGATCACATCTTGGAGGAAGGAATCATCAGAGTGACCATAGGAAGCAGCTTGGTACCCAGATGACCTAGACAACCTGCTTTTCTCAAAACCCTGCTTAAAGTAGGAGACAAGTCATCAATTTTCATAATTGGTATCAACTCGAGCACGTCACATTACAAGAGACAACAGTAACTTCTTTTGCATTTGACTGCTAATAATGTGTTCCACCATAAGTTGGGTAAATAAACATTCTCTACAAACAACAACTAGCATTAACATTTCTTGTTCACAGGTTCAGAAAGTGACATGCCTACAAACCAACAGACTAGACATGCCAAAGAAATCAATTTTTGGCTACAGCTCATTCATTCCACAAGATGACTGCTAGGCCCAAGAGAAACTTGAGAATACCAACCTTCAACAATAGATGTGCACTGAACAAGTGAACATAAAAGCACAGCTTCTCCATACAGGTAAATCGCATACCACGAACATCCTTATAAACTAGAGAACTTCCCGATACCTCAAAGCCAGTCTATTACTAACTAGAAGAGTCACAACCTAAAGAAGCCGAGACAGCGGACGTAGTTAATCAAACAACTTTCTTCAATCGGATGGGACAATCAAGGGAAACTAGTTCTCGAAAGCTGGAGCTTAGAAATTCAACGCCTGCGCAACAGACACAGCTCAAAAAAATTGTCCAGGATTGAATCATACAACAACCCATAACAGAAGAGGAGACGAAATAACGACTCGCAGATTCAGAATATCCATTCTAGGTATGTTTATCGAATCAAGGAGGCGAAGAATGAAATACGGAAATCCAGAGAAGTAAGAATGGAAACCTTGGAGGGATTGGAAGCGGGGATTGGATCGGAATGAGTTCCGTTGGATGATTCCTGATTGGCGAAGTCGTCGTAAGAGCAAAGGATGTCATCGGAGCCAAAATCGAATCCTTTGGAACCCGAGCTGGGCCGACCCGACGATCCAGATGCCATGTCGGTTGAGAAATGGACCAAAGCGAGAATTGACTGGAACTGAGACGATCTCTCGATTTCTCTTCGCTCTCCGATTGCCTATCTAGTGGATTGACGTTGCGACGATGTGGAGAGATGCTGAGCCAAGGGTTTCAGAGCTAGAGGAGATATGAGAATGAGACCAATTTGGGGAATATAAAAATAAATAGGCTAGAGAGAGAAAGTCGTAGTGAGAGAAACAGAAGAGATATGTTAGAAAAAGTTAAGAACCAAACAATATGTTTAGATAAAACTAGCTTTTTATCCGCCCCGTTGGTGGGAGATATTTATTTTATAATTTATATTAATTAACTTATTTATATGTTTAAATCATTTTGGATCTTCTAAATATTTTGTGTTCTTGATTCATAAAAGAGTTTGTAGTATGTCTATATTGAAAATTTCCAATATTTAGCACACTCACTTCTGATGCTTCGGTTTTCTAATCATAAATTATGTCGCTGTTACGTCCCATTTATAACCTATGTCAAAATTTGTCAACCAAAACACTAATATTTAGCGTACGCCAACCTGAACCACACACACACTACCATACGACCATTGAGTTTTACTATTTAGACTTCGGAGTTTTTTGGGGCATGATACTATACCATAACATCTAATAGGTGAACTATAATCCATAATTCTCTAACCTCTAATTTATGCAAATACTTTGTCATACCTATCTTCTATCGTATCTTGAGTAAAATGCAAAGATAGTATACCTTAATATTTATATATATATATATATATATGGCGAGTTCTACGGTATCCTAGGTGAAATTCGGGGTACCACATACCTTAAGTATGAAAACACTATCTAGACCTTGAATTGACCGATCTTTCGGACATGATACTATACTCTAACACTTAAAGATCAAAATCTAGGTGTTAACTCTCCCAATCTTATACTCCGAGATCAATTTAATTAGAAATAATAATCGACGGTTATGATTCATCCAAATATAGGCACAAAAATAAATGCACCATCTTAGGGTTTATAGATTATAATTTAGATAATTATGACCTAGGGTTCACTCATTAAGGGTTAGGGTATAATATCAGACACAAAAATCCTGGTAATTCGAGGTCTAGATAGAGTTTACATACTCGAGGTATGTGGTACCCCGGATTTCACCCAGGGTACCATAGAAGCCACCATATATATATATATGTGTGTGTGTGTGTGTGTGTGTGTGTGTGTGTGTGTGTGTGTATAGTAGACTCAAAATTATCCAGATAGTTTGCCAGACCTATCTTATCTCGCCTAATACTCATATTAAAAGTGCTACTCACCTATCCCCACCCTCGGGATAGAGATCCCGCTTTTACCCCATAACGTCAGACAACCATTGAGGTTGTCTATCGTTTGATATGTAATATATAAAGAGGAAAATTCTAAGATGATGCTATTTATTTCTTATCCTCTCCCGCCGTCCCCCTTTATGGAGAATAATAGGGTAGGGATGAAAGGATCATAGCTCGATATGTTTTTATTCTGTTCATCGTATCGGAGGTTATGTTATTTTTATATTTTTTTTGGCTTCTTTTCATTCTTCTTTGACACCTATGGTTGTGATCAGATGTATTTAGCCCCCGAAAGGGGTTGAGATTTTAGGTCATTTGGAAATCTAATACACATTCATGATCCTCAAGTTTGGACGAACTCTTGACCAATGTTGTAAAGATTATTACTTTTTAGTGAGACATTCTTAGTAAAGATACTTCATTATTGGATCAATTTATTCATCCATATTGAAACTTGACACACACCGTAGCCCTCGTGATGATTAAATTCTATAATCTCGACTCATTTCCATTTTGGATGTTAGTTTTTTTTATCAAGACACTTAAAATTTAGTATATTATAGAATATGTATCAATTGTTAATTTTTGAAGTTCAACTCGTGGTCATTGTTTATATGTTGGCTTAGAATCTCAATCTAAGACACTCGCACACATTATCGAGGATTTTGGTCTTAACATGGTCGTTGAATGTGTAATTTTCAAAGATTTTATCACTTATATTTTATTATTAATTTGATAAAGAGTGTCTACAATACACACATTTTTCAAGTGTATTTAAAATGTCTTATCATTTGACCAATATCGGTGGATTTCATTTGATTATTTCCATTAACTTATTATCTATACAACATATATCAATTCATGTTTCTCGAGTTTGGACGAACTCGCAACCAATTTTGAGAGTTGAGATTCCTGGATAAAGATACTTGATTGTTGGATAAATATGTTTATCCCAATTGACTATTTTACTAAAAATTGCCAACCTTTATTTGCTAAATGTCTAGGTTAGTAGTTGATGAAAAACGATGTTTATCGTATATTCTCAACAAAGATTCTCTAACATTCCATATGTTTTTTCAAGGAATCTTGTGTCTCATCCAAGGGTATGAAGTCAAAGTTCGTCAACAATCATACTTAAGTCATTTTGAAAAAAATTATTTATAATAGTTGACAATAAGTCCAAGTCTGAAAGAAAATTTTCTTAGCATACGACTTAGGACCTCAATAGGGCTTGCTCAATCAACATGATATAGAACAAATATTATTAATGTGAGCTTAGGACACATTCTAAAATTATTGCACATGCGATTTCTCTTCATTTGAGGAGTTTAAGGTAGAACCTTATGTGAGGAATAAGAAGTCTTTTTTAAATAAATAACTATAACTACTCGATCAAGATTATACACTGACATTTTGGTAAATAATACTTATTTTATTTTATAGACATATAATTTACGAATAAGAGAGTGTTTCATTTCAACAAAATTTAAAGTAATATAGTTTATAGTTCATAGGTAATTGAATGTCAAATGTTTATTTTCTCTCTTTTCATATAATTTTTTTAATCGAAAAAAGTTATTGTTTATGTGTATGTTTGTCTAATTTCCATAAAAATATAAATTATCATTCAATTTTAGTAAAAATGAGTAAGAAATTTACTTCATAAGGTTTAATCAGATATTTTTTATTTAAACAAATGTGGTATATGTTACTTTCTGTTTTCTTATTTATATTTTTTTACTGAACAAAAATTTTTATTATTTATGTGTGTTTGGTTAAGTTTATCAACATGTAACCTACTTTTAAAGCAAAAAAAAAGGTTAAAAGAAATGGAAATATTAAAGAAGAGAGAGGTAGCTCCATAAATACATTAATAACTATTTTTTGAAAAAAAATATTGTCCAACTTGGCAAATTGTGGATCCTCCAAGTGCTTATGTGGCAAGAGATTTTTTTTGAATTGCCATAATATATAGTATAGTTGCAACAAAATTTAAAGTAATATAGTTTATAGTTCATAGGTAATTGAATGTCAAATGTTTATTTTCTCTCTTTTCATATAATTTTTTTAATCGAAAAAAGTTATTGTTTATGTGTATGTTTGTCTAATTTCCATAAAAATATAACTTATCATTCAATTTTAGTAAAAATGAGTAAGAAATTTACTTCATAAGATTTAATCAGATATTTTTATTTAAACAAATGTGGTATATGTTACTTTCTGTTTTCTTATTTATATTTTTTTACTGAACAAAAAAATTATTATTTATGTGTGTTTGGTTAAGTTTATCAACATGTAACCTACTTTTAAAGCAAAAAAAAAAAGGTTAAAAGAAATGGAAATATTAAAGAAGAGAGAGGTAGCTCCATAAATACATTAATAACTATTTTTTTAAAAAAAATATTGTCCAACTTGGCAAATTGTGGATCCTCCAAGTGCTTATGTGGCAAGAGATTGTTTTTGAATTGTCATAATAGATAGATAGATAGATAGATAGATATAGATAGATCGATAGATATAGAAGATAGATGATTTGAATTTGGTATTTGTGATTATGTGTTTGGATATTAATTACATTTGATATTTGAATTTGATTTTCAAATATATATTTATGTATTACTTGTTAACTTCAAATATGATTCAATAACTAGTGATTTGAAATACCTCATAATAAACTATTGAACCTATTTGTAAAATATTAAAACTTTAGGTACTATAGTTAAGGAAAAACATATAAAGGTATCAAAACGTAATTTACCATCAAAATTTCCGAACCTTTTGTGAACTTTTAATAATTTTAGGTACTAAATTGTAAGAAAAAATAAATTAGAGTACCAAACTGTAATTTACCAAAATTTGCAGAATGTGACCAAAAAATTCAAATTTACAAGAAAAAATTATAAATTATAAAATATAAAATACAAATAAATTGCAAATGAGTATCCAAACAACGAATTTGAACTACATGTATTTCAAATTCTAGTATTTACAGTGGCGTAGCCATGATTTTATTCAAGGGGGTGTCGCAAAAAAATTATATATGTGCTCTCATGTTTTAAATTGTGAAATCATTCTATAACTATATGAATCAGCCAAATTATCAAGATTTCACTCATAATGTATCCCACCAAATAACTATTCACAATATCAATTCACTAGATTTGACGATTGACTTTGAAATTTAGCATTTAAATATCATAATAACTTATTAATACTACTAATATTTTGATCTTTTCTCCAAATCTAAGGGGGTGCCATGGAACCCCCTTAGTAAGCTCTAGCTACGCCCCTGAGTATTTATGCATGCATTTTAAAAACATTTATTTCAAATACTTTACATTTGAAATACACCTATCCAAACGCACTCTCAGTAAATTTCAACTCGTCTCGTACGTTACTATCCGACCTATCTTGTGATGTGGTGGGTATTATCCGATCCACTCTACTTTGTCTCGTCTTGTTTTTGCTATTGTATTTTAATTTCTATCTATTTATATTTATTCTATTTTGACTTTTCTTCAACAAGGTAGAATTAATTTTTGGCAAAATCCACCTGTGTAGCCAAAACTTTGACGATTTGGTCAAATATAGCTTCTTTTGGTGAAATACCAAAAATAGCTACTTCTGTCCAATTCTTTGGCAGTGTTAAGTAACGGGCTGAGTTGAACTAACGGAAGACTGAGCTGGACACTCTCTATTTGGTAACAAATCCACGTGGATGAACTAAAAAAAATTAAAAATTTGGAAAGGATCTTTTGACTGCTGAAATAGCTGAAAAGATAAAAATTAAATTAAATTAATGAATCCTTTATTATTTTCTCTCACACCTCTCTTCCAGTTCCCACCGTTCTATTCCCACCCCTCTCTTGCACTTCCCAGTTCCCAGTCGACAGCTCCAACACCACCAGAGCTGCCTCTGCATCTTCCGATTCTACTCCTCCACTGCCTCCTTCTTCCCCTCTACCTCATCTTTCACCTTCGAATCCTTGCTGCGACGACCGCGTACAGAGAATCCGCCCTTATCCTATATGTCGCCTTCTGCCCAAAACCGTCTCTGTCTCCACCAGATCCTAAGCTACGAATTGAAGAGACCTCCACGACATTATCTTTTTCTACGAATTGAAGAGACCTCCGTCTCTGTCTTCGCTTCTCCCTCTGTTCGTCATCGAGATCTGGACCTATTGTTTTCCCCATCGCTTTGCCACCTCCTCCCCTGCATCCAAACCTATGTGCAGTTATTTGAATTATTTGTCTATACAAAAGAACCAAACATGTCCCTGTACTTTGACAAAATTATCAAACATGCCCTTCTCCTATAATTTCTATTGAAAAAATCGTCAATCATGGTTGAATCGAGATTTAGATAAACTGAGATTTAGACAACTGGGAGGGAAAATATCAGTTTTGTCCCCCCATTTTATTTCTCTGGGTCTCTTCAAAGTGAAGTTATTTGAATTATTTGGCTATACAAAAGTACCAAAAAAAAAAAATACTAAAGTGAAATTATTAGGGATATTTTAGACATTTGTGTCGCCCAAACCAAAGTTCGGAGTTGGTTAACAATTTTTGGATGAAAATTTTAACAAAAGGGCATGTTTGATAATTTTTACAAAGTACAAGGGCAGATTTGATGTAAAAATAGTAAATGGGCATGTTTGATAAAACATCATAGTAGAGGGGCATATTATACCTATAACCTTCTTTTAAGGATTTAAATTGATGACCCAAAGGTACTAGATTTAAAGAGTTATGATCAAAGTGTGATAATTAATTGGTACATTAGTATATCATACTTTCCACATCTTGTAAAGTAATCCCAAGTCGAGAAATTCGTCGCCAGAAACCCAAAACCAAATCGATCTAACATCAATTTTTGCCATAGGATCAATAGGCGAATCACCCAAGCGAAGGGAACCAATATTCAAGTTGTAAGCGTCTTGAGTTAATAAGGTGCGTGGTTTGAGGGGACTAGTTAATATTCCATTATGAATTGTTTACGATGCATGTTACTTGGGTTATACGATATGCTCTTATATGCTTTTTATGGTTGACTTATGCGTTTGAGATTCATGTTCAAGTTCATAAGTAAGAACATGTTTTAAACTTCACTTAGCTAGAAGCACACGGTCACCCCATGTTATGATTAAGGAGGTTATGAACCCTACTCATGGGTAATGAGGAGGTTACGGACCCTACTCCTGGGTAATACGATCATGTTTAAATATGTCGGTGATCATGGTGGTGTGCTAGTTAAGTTGAGCTCAAGGCCCCCTTTTTGGCAAAGAATATCCATTTCAAGAAAATTATTTACAAGTCTGGTAAATATTTTATGTATGAACTTTTGCTATCATTTGCATGTTGCGTCATTTCTATATTATGTAAAGAATGGAATTAGGATTAGGACTGACCCCAATGCTCACATTCAGGAGCTGGTAGAAACCAGGAGCTTATAGACCACCCACAGGTGCACAGTTGCTGATCAGGATGTCATCAGAGGGTTTAGTGGTTGAGGAAGCTTAATGAAGAACTTTTAATGTTTATGCATTGTTTATTAGCGGACTTGAGACAGATGTTCGCTTGTGTTTATTAATAATGTTTTCCCTTTTTGAATTTGGATTTGATTGATGTGATCTTTCTATCGTACTTTTCATATTGAACATTTTATGGTTACTAAGGACATCCTAAAGGTGCCTGGTTACTCTAGTCATCCACCACCTGCACAAACTTTACACAACACAAATGAAAGCCAAGGCACGCAAGATCCAAACTCAAAATGCAAGAACTGAAATTCTAGATTAATTAGTAAAAACTTTTCCCGAATAATAGATCGTGTTCCCCAACGACGATGCCAGAAAAACTCGACTCGCTGCCACTACACACTATCCCAACTATAGGCCAACTGAAACCTATAATCGGGGGTAGGATAGGATAAGTATTTCAAAATTAACGCTAGCGGACTATCTATCCTTACTTCAGCCACTTACACATTATCTAGCGATCGAATTGTGGTTAAAACTAAATAAACTAAACAAGCAATCAAAGTAAACTTTGGTGAATTCAAATGAGAAAGGTATCTCATCAAGTATAGTGAAACTGGTATCTCATCCCCATGGATTAGCTAACACACATCAGTTAGTGAACCAAGAAATTTGTATGTTCTTTACTTTCTTGGATTGTCGATTTCCCAAACCCTTTACAACAACCTAACTCTTAACGCCTTCTCATTTAATTTGAAGTGATGTTACTCGTTGTTTATGACATTATCAGCCAACATGATGATAATGGTATGAGTTGCACATAGAAATACCAACTAAAAAGCGCATAAAATTGTTCCTAAACGAATATTTGGAATCCAAATTTGAACATGATACCCAAAATAGCCACCAACTGGATGGAAGGAGTAGATAATTAGATAGGTTTGCATGCATGTCCATGGAGAGAGAGAGAGAGAGAGAGAGAGAGAGAGAGAGAGAGAGAGAGAGAGAGAGAGAGAGAGAGAGAGAGAGAGAGAGAGTTTGCCGATGAGGTACCAAGAGATTTGGGATTTTTCAATCATGGAAGTTTTCAGTGAGGCGAACTGTGTCTCTTGGCGAAAAGCATTATTGTCACATAGCCATTGAATTCTGGGGAAGGGTAGTCGACAGTCGCACGACTTCCTCCTCACCTTCCCGTGCCACACTCATCGCTTGAACCAGGATGAGGGGTGCATTGGTAGAGCTTTTGGATGAAAACACAGAAGATTTTAGGGAGGATGGAGATGGCGTTCACATTGGCGAGAAATTTGATTTCTTGTTCCTTGGGATCCTAATTTGACAAGTATGATGACTGTGTCCTAGAGGACGATGGATTCATTGGCACAGAGAGAGATGAAGCGAACTCATACAAAACCACATTTGTTATTTTCAATTCCTTAATTTTAATTTCTAATAATTAAATATATAGTTATACTGATCCTTGTTGGATGATAATATACATATCTTTAGTACTCGATCAGTAATTCACATACACATTTTAGCGCATCACTTACCTTTTTTTGATAGGACAAAAATGAAGATTTCATCTTCACTAAAATAAAATACAAATTTGCTCATCCCTTTAGCCATTTTAAATCACATTTATTCCTCTACTTTTATGTGAGTTGAGTGTCGAGAGGGAAAAAATCTCTAACCTCTGCCTCGCAGCTCTCTACCCTCTACTCCACCCTCCAATTGTCTCCACGGGGTCGGAGACATTACTATTCCCATTTAAACTTCCACGTTGACGCCTTCTGCGACCCTTCAAGATTCCCATTTCAATTTTCCCATCTTAAGTTAGGGTGACTCTACCTCTTGCAACTACAATCTGCGAAATGATATTTTTTATATATGAGGTATTGCGATCAATTGGGAGGAGAGTGAAAGAAACCAATTGTGAGAAATTGTGAACGGCATGGAGAGGAAGAGGAAAAAATATATTGGGGAGATACCATGGATGAGAGAGGTAGGAGGAAGTAGGGATAAATTTGAAAGAAACAAAAAGGAAATGGGATATTTCGAAATAGCTAGGTGTGATATGCTATTTCAAAATGTGGTATATGAAGATTTTTGAAATCTCTCAGTGATGAAATCTGTCTTTTTGTTTCTTTGCTAAATGAAATATTTAGCCAAAGTTTGGCAGAATGAGAGATTGTAAAGAAATCACTCATTCAAATGAACCTCTAGCTTAGGCAATATATCACCTAAAACGTTCCTTTTTTTTTTGCTCGAACATTGTTTTTTATTTCCAAGATCGAAGATTTGTTACACAACAGGCTTGAACATGTTTTCAATTAGTTTAAGTCTAAAGCATCTCATTAATTAAGAGCCTAAAAAATTAATGTTTTTGTTCCACCGTGATCATTCTTAGACACGCATTCCCTTTCACTCATTCATCAGTATCATCACTAAAACATTTCTCCCCATGAATTAAACCAATATCCAAAATCTGAGAAATGAAGCTAGTAGCATATCAATTTTGTTCTTTACTTCAAAACCACTCAAGTCATAAGAACGATGCAATGGTGAATATCTCAAGCACAAGGGGCAATAGGAAGAACTGGTTGTTGGCGGGAACTGCATTGTTTTTGCGCCTGGCTTCGCAATCAAGACCGTGGTTGCCTTCCTTGCAAGTATTGGCAAAGAGACCTGCAGGGTACTTGCCATAGAGGTTTATGTAACTGAACATGGTTTGCGCACAGTTCGTGCTGGCATCGTTGATCTCGTAGGTATAAGGGCAAGCAAACAGCTTCAGTGCATTATAACATTGGTCTTTCGGGTACAATGGCCCTTTGCATTGGGTCGTCAAGATAGTGTAGTCCATATCTTGAAAGCTCACGTTGCAGGCTGCACCAATTCAAATTATCATGTTCCTCTTTTAACAAAATTGTTATTGATTTTCACAAGTTAAAGTATTATTTATTTTTTTTTGGATTGTGAAATTGTTTCAAAGAATACATCTCAAATGAAAATTAGGGAGAGGACAATGATAAAAGAACAAATATCCTTTATTTGATTAAAGACATTTGATTTAATCCGGAAGAGAAATACCGTTTACCTTTTTTCAATTGAAGCAAGTCGCGATTAGGGCCTCCACTGGTGAATCGATCACCATCTGCATTAGTTAAATAAATGTTTAGCGAAACAGGGGGAAAAGGCTAACAGATTCCAAAGGAAGGAGAAAGGTGTTCTTACTGGAAATGAAACTGGAGTAGGCAAATCCAAAGTGAGGTAGGATGAGGCAAGCTACGCAGCAGAACCACGAATTGATGTGCATCATCTGTTCTTTCATAATAATGTTGGAAAGAAAACAATATATATTCTTTTTCCTTTTTCTTCGAGGTCCTGAAGCAATAATTTGTTGGTGGTAATATGAAATTTTTCCGACTTGGAGAGTTGTAAGTCTCCAAATCGGATTTGAGACTCCAATTAGAAGACTAAACCCTCAACACCAACGTCATTCTTTCATCATATAAAGGGATATGGCCTCTTGTTGCCGTCCTTCCAAGATTTCTGGAATTTATCCCATCTTCTAATTAATCCTTCCTATGTTTAGCAAAGATCTAGTAATTGATGTGGTGTACGTCTGTATCTTGTTGTATTGATTAAAACATTAGCCAAATTATAAGGCTATGGTTGTTTGAAAGAATTTTCAAAATTGAGTTATATGCAAATATTTCCTTTGTGTTGATTCTAATTTCTATTACAGTTTTGCTAATAGCCAACAAATTCTATATCAAATCCAATACACTTATATACTCTAAAATATTCCCACTTTCTTGTCTAGACATTTCCCCCCTAAAAATAGCCACTGGCAACAACTTCACCAAACACCATGTTTGCCACCACTTTAAATCAAATTACCATTTTCGATGAGAATTGTACGAGTACCGGAGTTCTCAAATGGAGCCTATCTTATTTAAAAAAATTTGTGGATATAATCCAAGAAGGCTATGAAGACCCACAAGAAGAGGAAGAAGACTTCAAGAATGACTAGGAAAGCAGATAAAGGAGTATAAGGAGAATGTCATGCAAAATGTAGTGCCCTGCGAATAATTTCAAGAAGCTTGGAATGTCTTACGTTTGATAACTTGATGATGAAGGAAACTGACACCATTAAAACTTCCATTCTTGTATGGTTGAGACAGTCAACCAAATCATAGCGACTAGGGATGCCATTGAAGAAAGGAAGATGGTGGAGAGAATACTCTGCAATTTATAATCAAATTTTGAGCATATTGTTGCTGCGTATAGGGGTGGGAAACGGGTATTTGGGTATACCCGTACCCGTCCCGTTTTTTAAGGGTTACGGGTACCCATATTACCCGTAATATTATAAATGGATGGGACTTGGGATTGTACATTCTTAATATGGGTACCCGCGGGTTATCCGCGAATACCCGTTTGGGTAATATGGGTACCCGTTATACCCATTCAATACAAAGACATCCCAACCCAATACATAACCCATTGGCCATTTCGGCCCTCACCCTTGCAATTTCAATTCCATTTGTCATTTGGGCCTAGGGCCCTTACCCTTTAAGTGAGACTTAGCTTCTCTGCTATAGATTTTAGCTTCCCATGAACCTAAAAATTTGGACACTTTCTGCATTAAGCAACACAAGAAAAGTAGCAGCATGCCTCCCATTTGGTTGTGTTGAATGAAACTTCTTATTTGATAATTTGGTTCTTGGAATGATTTATTTCTATGTGTTGTGATTGTTTATGAATGTGTTATTTGCAAACCGAGTATTTGGGATTGGGATGTATTTTGTGTCTTGTGATTGTTAAACAAATACAAGTTAAGTTTAAACTTTTGTTAAAATTTTAGTGGTTTAAATTTTGGGTATTTATGGGTAGTATGGGTACCCATTATCCGTCCCGTACGGGAAATGGGTACTTGTTTCCCATATGTGTTTGGGATATGGGATGGACTTTGGTCTCCAAACGAGACTGGGTACCCGTTTAAAACAGGACGGGTATCCCGTCCCGTCCCGTTGCCCACCCCTAGCTACGTAGAATAAACCAAAGATTTGGAAAAACTACCAATTAGCGAGTTGAAGGGCTCACTTGTAGCTCTCGAGCAAAGAATGAGCCACTTCAAAAACAATCATTGGAGCAAGTTTTCATGAAAAGTCAACATTACGACTAGTAAATATGCCAAATCAAAGCAAGGTCGGAGAGGGGGTAACTCACAAGGATGAGGGAGAGGAATATCTAATTATAGAGGAAACAACAAGCAAAATCATCAACAATAAAAATCGGGCAACACCAGCTCAAGTTGCATAATTTGGGAAAAGGCGGGTCATGCAACAAAAAACTGCAGATACATTCATCAAGTGCAGGATTGAGATTCATTCCCAAAGAAATTGTTGGTTCCATAACAAGCAAGAAGAAGGCAATTCAACCAACACCCAAAATGAAGAAAGTAATATGGTTGCCTTGTCATGCTTGAATGGTGAGCAAAATGCATAACTTCCCTGGATGGTGGATAGTGGTTGCTGTAACCACATGATTGCAGATATGAAGTCCTCTATCGACATTGATAACAACTACCTATCTCAAGTCAAATTGGGAGATGGAAAGAAGCTACAAGTGGAAGGAAAAGACACAATTGTTGTATGCATAGAAGAAGGTAACAAAACTCTCATACGAGATGTTTTGTATGCTCCAGAGCTAACTGAAAATTTGCTTAGCGTAGGACAACTTATGCACAAAAATCACAAGGTATTGTTTGATAATGGCATGTGCGAGATTATCAACAAAGCTGACAATTTCATGTCGGCCAAAGTCCCTATGACTTCCAACAAAAAATTTCTCTCAAATGTCACAATATGGTGAAGTAGCATTCAAGAGTGAAAACCTAGATCACTCCTTCCTATGGCATCTTAGATACTTTCATTTCAACTTTAAATGCCTCAAATTGCGGAGGTAGAAAATTATGGTGGCCGGAATTCCCTAGATCAGAAGGGAAGACAAAATATGTGAAGATTGCATATAATGAAAAATGCATCCTTTGCCATTTCCAAAAACTTCTTAGAGAGAAAAATACCACTGGAGTTGGTGCATGCAGACATATGTGGTCCGAATAAACACAATCACTCAACAACAAAAGATACTTTCTACTATTTGTATATAAATTCACCATATGATGTTGGTATTCTTTCTGGAGCAAAAGTCAGAAGCCTTTTCCAAGTTCCTTCAATTTCAAGCCATAGCTGAGAAGGAAAGCATCAACAATTTATGGAGAAGAATTTATTTATACTCTATTCTTGGAGTATTGCTGAAACAATGAAATTAAAAGACAGCTGATTGTCCATTACATACCACAAATAAATGGCGTAGGAGAACAGAAAAACCACATGATTGAGGAGATGGCGAGAAGTATGTTCAATGCAAAAAAGATTCCCATTAATTTTTGGGCGGAAGCAGTCAATACAACAATTTACATGCTCAACATATTACCAACTAAAGCAGTTCGGAACAACATGATACATGCATGGCACCATAGGAGGCCAAACATGGATCACCTGAAAGTATTTGGGTGCATAATGTATGCACATATCTCTACCCCAAATAAAGACAAGTTTGACCAAAAGAGAGAGAAGTTTAGTTTCACTAGCTATAGTGATGAATCCAAAGGCTATCGATTTTATAAGCCAGTGAAGAATGAAGTGGTGGTTTCTCGAGATGTGATCTTTGATGAGATGGCAGAGTGGAATTGGGAACAACCAATTTCTCAATCTCCACCAAAGATCCAACAACTCTAGAAGACACCAGCAACCAACCTAATCTTGTTGCAAGTCTAGAAAGGAACTCAATAGGCACTATAGGAGGAGACAATATCCTTAGATTCACCAATCTTAAGGACAAGATCCTTAGATATTTAAAAAAAGGTTTAATCATGGTTATTCTACTCAGACATTGGTCTTATAGCGTTCTGCCGTGATTCACGTTGAGAAATCCCAAAAATAAAAAATATATGACGTACCTTGATATGATCCCAAATTTTCCCTTAAACAAGGTTGCATTACTTGTCCAAAAATCCACCCATGTTGGAAGGAAAAGGGGAGAATTTGGTCAAGTGTTCGACCTGTTTCGTGGTGTCTACTATGGAGGTTCGTATCTTACATTTTAATCGATGTAAATTAAAGAAGAAGGATTCGTATTGAAGAACAAGTGTTGCTTTACATGTTGGAACAATTGGTTGTCCAGAATCAAGTCCTCAAGGCCATTTTCCAAATCCCAAAAGTTGCTATCTCAACACAGAAAAACTTCCAAGAATTGACCAAGTCTGGAGACAGTTAGAGCTACCTACTAAGTCTGGAGCACAATCGAATGGAGATGGGAGCTGGGACATAGAGCTGGAGACTTGTTGAAGAAACGAATGAAGATTGATTGGCTTGAATATCTATGGAAAGCTTTGAAAGAGAGCTTCCAAGTTGCTATGAAGGCTGTCTGGGTTACTTGCGTAGGAAGGTAGGCTGCTTACAACTAGAGTTTCCTTGTTCTTTCTGGATTTGGAGTGTTCCTATTAAGGATTTCGATTTGCGTTGAGGTTGTTTCCTATTTCAATGATGTTTCGTTGTAAAACTAGAGGTAGACGTGTAATTGTAATCTATTTAAGGGTTTAAGAGCCTCGTGTAATAGTTAGTTTTTAATTGAATGAAAAAGTGACCTTGTCACCCAAAACCCTATCGTGTGTTGGTTGTGTTCCAGCAATGAAATTGCTTCGTATGGATTGAAATCACATCAATCGTGGCCGAGCTTCGATCAAACCCAATCGAGCCTCTTCCCTTGTGTGACGTTGCACCTTCAGTCCGTTTTAGTTACAGTTTCTCAAATTTATTCAAGGTCTATAGATTGCATCTCAATTGCGTTTATCTGATAATAAAAAACAAGGAGTTAACTTGCATCATACCCTAAGAGCCTTCGTCCATTATTTGCATAAGACGGATAGATATTCGTTTGGGTTTTTAGCGGGACAAGATTTTTTTTGGAACTCAAGGAAACATGATTTGATGTGGAATATCGGACTTGCCACAACCCATGAACACAAGGAAACAAGATAGCATACCCGTATTACTTGAGTGGTGGAGGAGAAGGAAGATGTGGTGGTTATGTGAATGAAATGAGGGGGACGGTGTGGCAATTTATAGGCCGAGGGAGCGCTTTGATCGTGCCCGCTACAAGTGATCAGCGCCTCCCCACTCCAAATTCGCGTTCCACGTCAGCGATCTGTGTCGCTTGTAACAACCTATCGCGCCGCTCGAATGCGATTCACGTGGATCGTGTCGTCCAAACGCAATTTGACGGTTAATCATTTTCCATGTCAGTGACCGAAAGTGATCGCGTTCCCCGGTGATATATCTGTTCATCGCTTTTACGAATATC